TTTGATACGGACACACCCTTGTTCTTGCCTTCTGAGGTTGTTTGATACGGACACACCCTTGTTCTTGCCTTCTGAGGTTGTTTGATACGGACACACCCTTGTTCTTGCCTTCTGAGGTTGTTTGATACGGACACACCCTTGTTCTTGCCTTCTGAGGTTGTTTGATACGGACACACCCTTGTTCTTGCCTTCTGAGGTTGTTTGATACGGACACACCCTTGTTCTTGCCTTCTGAGGTTGTTTGATACGGACACACCCTTGTTCTTGCCTTCTGAGGTTGTTTGATACGGACACACCCTTGTTCTTGCCTTCTGAGGTTGTTTGATACGGACACACCCTTGTTCTTGCCTTCTGAGGTTGTTTGATACGGACACACCCTTGTTCTTGCCTTCTGAGGTTGTTTGATACGGACACACCCTTGTTCTTGCCTTCTGAGGTTGTTTGATACGGACACACCCTTGTTCTTGCCTTCTGAGGTTGTTTGATACGGACACTCCCTTGTTCTTGCCTTCTGAGGTTGTTTGATACGGACACACCCTTGTTCTTGCCTTCTGAGGTTGTTTGATACGGACACACCCTTGTTCTTGCCTTCTGAGGTTGTTTGATACGGACACACCCTTGTTCTTGCCTTCTGAGGCAATTCGTGATAAATTCTCGCCTCTCGGTTCCGTACTCCTTGTTTCCTATCGAATCATGTCGTGCCCCCGCAGCATCTTGCTCTCCCGCACCCCCCCTTTAACCCGTTTCCTTTCCCGCTTCCCCCTCCCCCAGCCCCAACCTTCCTTCCCCCAGCACACCAGCGACTTCCCCCTCGGAGCGCGCGGAAGTGCCAAGATTGCCCCGAAGGGGGACCAGCTAATCGCGACAAACCCCTCTGAACTATCCCCCCCTCTCCATCCCCTCTCGCCACCCTCTTCCCCCCCCCCCCCCCCCCCCCCCCCCCCCCCCGTTTCCCCTTCCCCCCCTCCTCCCTTCTGTGCCCCACACACCCCAGAAGCAAGCCAACGACCTTGCAAACGTGGAGTGGTGGTGTGGTGCGCGCGGCACGCACACCAACGACTTTCCGCACCAGAAGTGCCCCGAGGGGGACCAGCTGATCGCGAAAATCAACTTCCCGGTTTGCTGGGACGGCAAGAACATCGACAGCGCAGATCACCGAAGCCACGTGGTTCATATCCCGCTCAACACCACATGCCCAGAATCTCATCCCGTGCCGCTCCCGCGAATCAGCATCAAGGTTTATTACCCGGTCAGCAGCGATTTGGATCTTACTTGGCCGAAAGACGGCGTGAAGGGGAACCCTGCGGTGTATTTGTCAACGGTGCAGAGCGGTGGAACCGGGAGTCCGTATGAGTATCATAGCGATTTCATCAACGGGTGGGATCAGAAGGTGCTGACTCGCCTCGTTACAGACTGCATCAATAAGAATAAAAAGTGCCTGGTGCAAGAAGACAATGTGTAGTGAGACGTGGGCTGACAGCGGTTTCAGTTTATACAGTGAGAAGTGGCTGCCTGGGGCTTTGTTCTTATGCACCACAATTCAACATACAGTGAGGGAGCGTGGTGTTGATAGTGAAATGATCTGGCGACAGGTGTAGGCTCAGCCGGTGTGCTGTATATATAATGTCATTTCATAGCAGACAGGAATATCTGTAAATTACAAAAAACAGTTTATAAATAGGAGGCTGTAAACAACAAAACGCTTAAAACCAGCAAGCTACAGCATAAAAACACAAGTCTCAGCCTAAGCAAAGCTGCTTGCAAGGCTGGTGGGGCAAGCTGCAAAGGTGGAGGAAACAATGGTACCATATGGTGGTATTGCTCTGATCAACGGGAAGTGCTTGGTTGGTCTGGTACCAAAGATCGTTGTACTGCATTGATAGGACAATCACCGATGTGATTCTCCGTAGACCAGAGCAACACCCCTACGACCTGCTATGCACTTAACCAGAACAACAGTGAAGGAGTGAGCGCCCGCTGTATATTTCAAAGCACTCCCTTTCTCGACTCGCATTCCTCTTTCTGGCATTGTCGTGTCGAGGAGTGCGAGTACCGTCCCGCTATCGTACCTCCCCTGCTGCATTGTCAAGCCCTATACACTCCCCCTACGGGAGAATCGTCGTTGCGGTGCCACTCCCAATCCGCCTCCCTTGCTGTACTGTACACGTTCCTCTCCCCCCTTCTCCCTTGCTCTACCTTTACAACCCATTGAAACGCCCATCACGCTGGTCGGCACTCAGCAGGAGCAGAGGCACTGGCAAGGCTGGTCAGGCGAGCTGAGTCAGCAGGAATAGACGGGGAATCGTCGTTGCGACGCCACTCCCAGTCCACCTCCCCTGCAGCATTGCCCCCTTTCCCACCACCTCACGCCTCCTTTGAACCACACACCCATCACAGTGGCCGGCACTCAGCAGGAACAGAGCTGCTGGCAGGGCTGGTGAGGCGAGCCGAGTCCGCAACAGCAGTGGAGGAATCCTCATTGCGATGCCTCCACCTCCCCTGCCGCACTGCCCCCTGTCCCACCACCTCACACACGCACACCCATCACGCTGGTCGGCACTCAGCAGGAGCAGAGGCACTGGCAAGGCTGGTGAGGCGAGGTGAGCCGGCAGCAACAGACGGGGAATCCTCGTTGCGATGCCACTCCCAGTCCACTTCCCCTGCTGCACTGCACAACCCCCCCCGCCCACCCTTACCCCCCCCTCTTCTCCTCTTACCCCTTCTTGAATCGCGAATCACGCTGGTCGGCACTCAGCAGGAGCAGAGGCACTGGCAAGGCTGATGAGGCGAGCTGTGTCGGCAGCAACAGCAGGGGAATCCTCATTGCGATGCCCCTCCCACCCAGTTCGCCTCCCCTGCTGCACTGCACAACCCCCTCCACCCACCCTTACCTCCCCCTCTTCTCCTCTTAACCCTTTTTAACCCGCAAATCACGCTGGTCGGCACTCAGCAGGTGCAGACGCAATGACAAGGCTGGTGAGGCAAGCCGAGTCGGCAGCAACAGCAGGGGAATCCTCATTGCGATGCCACTCCCAACACGCCTCCCCTGCCGCACTGCCATCTCTCCCCACCCCTTCACACCCCTTTGAACAGCAAATTACGCTGGTCGGCATTCAGCAGGAGCAGAGGCACTGGCAAGGCTGGTGAGGTGAGCTGAGTCAGCAGCAACAGACGGGGAATCGTCGTTTTTGTGCCACTCCCAATCCGCCTCCCCTGCTGCACTGCCATCGATTTTGAAGAGAGCAAAGCCGAAGGCTGCCTCTCTGAAGGTCGACCATGCAGGCTCGGGGGAGACGAAGCTGAGAGGGGGAGGGGGGGCGTGGGGGAGGGAGGAAGGGAGGAGTTTGATTGTGGTGCTGGGGTGAGCCTGCTTCCACTGCCGCACTGCCGTCAATCTTTGAAGAGAGCAAAGCCACGGTGGCTTCTCTGAAGGCCGACCACGCAGGCCTGGGGGAGACGAAGCTGAGAGGGGGACGGAGGGGCGTGGGGTAGGGGCAAAGGAGAGGGACGGAGGGGGGGGATCGGGGGTGGGGATTGAGAGGTCGTAGGTTCAGGTGATTCAGTGTTACTCCCAATCCGCCTCCCCTGCTGCACTGCCATCGATCCTGAAGAGAGCAAAGCCAAAGGCTGCCTCCCGAAACGCAGACCATGCAGGCTTGGGGGAGGTGAAGCTGAGAGGGGGGGGGGGAAGGGAGGGAAACGAAGGGGAAGGAGGGGGAGGAAGTGAGGAGATTGATTATGGTGCCACTCCCAATCTGTCTCCCTTGCTGCACTGCCATCAATATTGAAGAGAGCAAAGCCAAAGGCGGCTTCTCTGTAGGCTGACCACGCAGGCTTGGGAGAGACGAAGCTGAGAGGGGAAGGGAGGGGGAGGAAGGGAAGGGGATGAGGGTTGAGAGGACGTAAGCTCAGGTGTTGCGGTGCCACTCCCAGTCCGCCTCCCCTGCAGCACGCGATCGATCTTGAAGAGAGCAAAGCCAAAGGAAGCTTGTCGAAAGGCTGACCATGCAGGCTTGGGGGAGACGAAGCTGAGAGGGGGAGGGAGCAGGAGGGGTAAGTGGGAGGGAGGAGGAGGGGGAGGCGGGAGGGAGGAAGGGGGCGTGAAATGTACATCAGGTGTTTCAATGCCACTCCCAGTCTACCTCCCCTGCTGCACTGCCGTCAATCTTGAATATAGAGCAAAGCCAAAGGCGGCCACTCTGTAGGCTGACAATCTGACCAAGGCGCCTCAAAACAAGGGGATGAGGGTTGAGAGGACGTAAGCTCAGGTGTTTCAGTTCATTTCCCGGTCTGCCTCCCCTGCGGCACTGCGATCGATCTTGAAGAGAGCAAAGCCAAAGGGAGCTTCTCCGAATGCTGACCATGCAGGCTTGGGAGAAACAAAGCTGAGAGACGAAGGGAGGGGTGGGGGGGAAGGGGGAGGGAGGTGGAGGAAGAGAAGGGGACGTAAGCTCAGGTGTTGCGGTGCCACTCCCAGTCGGCCTCCCCTGCTGCACTGCCAACCATCTTGAAGAGAGCAAAGCCAAAGGCTGCTTCTCTGAAGGCCGACCATGCAGGCTTGGGGGAGACAAAGCTGAGAGCGGGAGGGAGGTGGAGGGAGGAAGGTGGGAGATTGGATATGGTGTTATGTCAGTCCCGGCTTTCCTTGAAGAGAGCAAAGCCGAAGGTGGCTTCTCTGAAGGCCGACCATGCAGGCTTGGGGGAGACAAAGCTGAGAGGAGGAGGGAGGTGGAGGTGAAGCTGAGAGGAGGGAGGTGGAGGAGAGAAGGTAGGGAAGGGACAAGAGGTGAGAGAGCAAAGGCGTATGGTGTTTCAGTGCCACACCCAATCTGCCTCCCCTGCCGCACGCCATCATTGGAAAGAACAAGTCCTGAATGTCAAAGGTGGCATACAGGGCGTTTTTGGGAATTCTCAAAAACGCCCTGCAACAACATGGTGGCATACCCAGGATATGATAAGGACATACTACCTCTCAAGGCGTCTCACAGTACACAGCTGACCTACCTGGGGTATAAATCCTTCCCGCCACTCCCAACAGTGATGTGCATGATTCCACAGGGGTCCTCCTTTCCATTGTACACGCGGGTCTGGTGGGGTGGAGATTGGACACGCAAGTGACAGAGAAGAAGAAAGAATGAAGAGGTGAATCAAGGAAAAGAGCAGGCTGTTTCCGGGACAAAGGATGTGCATGATCCCACAGGGGTCCTCCTTGCCATTGTACACGCGGGTCTGATGGGGGAAACCAATGGTCAAACAGTGGAAGATTAGAAGGAATGAAGCGGTGTAGCAAGGAAAAGCCTAGGATGGTTCCCACAGGGCAAAGGGATGTCATGATCCCACAGGGGCCCTCCTTGCCATTGTACACGCGGGTCTGATGGGGTGGAGACAGGATGAATATGGAGGCGAATCAAGGAAAAGAATCAACCGACGTTACAGGAGCGAGGTAATATAATCAAGCTGTTACAGAAGCCGGTACAACAGTCGTTACAACGGTCGTTACAACGGTTGTTACAACTCACCGTTCGCTCGTACGCATGCACGTGGCCAGTGATCAGCATGTCGACCCGGGCGCCGTACATCGTCTCTTCCAGGGCCTCCTACATGGCTCGTTACCCATTGTTACAAAGGCCCGTTACCATGGTTCTCACAACTCACCGTCCGCTCGCACACAGGCACGTGGCCAGTGTTCAGCATGTCAACGCGGGCGGCATAGAACGGGTTTTGAGTGACTCAAAGCTCGTCAATATAATCAAGCCAATGGAACGGTCGGTCCTTACAACTCACCGTGCGTTCGTACGCATGCACGTGGCCGGTGATCAGCATATCGACACGGGCGCCGTAGAGCGTCTCTTCCAGCGCCTTCCTCATGGCCTGTCCGTCTGCCTGGTGGTCATTGTTAGAATGATACCACGGCTCGTGCAGGGATGCCACCAGCCAGGGTGTTTTGGTCCGATCCACGCTTGATAGATCCCTCTGCAAGGGAAGGGACACGGAGACATGGATGGGTGCAGAGCAGTGAGCGTCAGTGAGCGTCTCTTCCAGGGCCTCCCTCATGGCCTGTCCGTCTGTCCGGTGGTCATTGTTAGAGTGATACCAGGGCTCGTGCAGGGATGCCACCAGCCAGGGTGTTTTGGTCCGATCCACGCTTGATAGATCCCTCTGCAAGGGAAGGGACACGGAGACATGGATGGGTGCAGAGCAGTGAGCGTCAGTGAGCGTCTCTTCCAGGGCCTCCCTCATGGCCTGTCCGTCTGTCCGGTGGTCATTGTTAGAGTGATACCAGGGCTCGTGCAGGGATGCCACCAGCCAGGGTGTTTTGGTCCGATCCACGCTTGATAGATCCCTCTGCAAGGGAAGGGACACGGAGACATGGATGGGTGCAGAGCAGTGAGCGTCAGTGAGCGTCTCTTCCAGGGCCTCCCTCATGGCCTGTCCGTCTGTCCGGTGGTCATTGTTAGAGTGATACCAGGGCTCGTGCAGGGATGCCACCAGCCAGGGTGTTTTGGTCCGATCCACGCTTGATAGATCCCTCTGCAAGGGAAGGGACACGGAGACATGGATGGGTGCAGAGCAGTGAGCGTCAGTGAGCGTCTCTTCCAGGGCCTCCCTCATGGCCTGTCCGTCTGTCCGGTGGTCATTGTTAGAGTGATACCAGGGCTCGTGCAGGGATGCCACCAGCCAGGGTGTTTTGGTCCGATCCACGCTTGATAGATCCCTCTGCAAGGGAAGGGACACGGAGACATGGATGGGTGCAGAGCAGTGAGCGTCAGTGAGCGTCTCTTCCAGGGCCTCCCTCATGGCCTGTCCGTCTGTCCGGTGGTCATTGTTAGAGTGATACCAGGGCTCGTGCAGGGATGCCACCAGCCAGGGTGTTTTGGTCCGATCCACCGTTGATAGATCCTTCTGAAATGTGGAGGGTAGAGAGGGACACACATGGGTGCAGAGGGGTGATGGTGGGTTTCTGTCTGGTGGTCGCTGTTAGAATGGTACCAGGGATCGTGCTGGGATGCCCCCAGCCAGGGTGTTCTGGCGATCCACACTTGATAGATCCCTCTGCAAGGGAAGGTACAAAACGGTATGGATGGGTCCGGGGTGGTGAGCGCTAAGGGATGCAATGCTGCATGTGACTAAACGGTATGTGCTCTTAAAGAAAGCTCACCTGCAGCCACTGGAGCTGTTTCGAATCAGGGCCGAAGGGCGAGTAGCAGGAGAGCACGATGACGTGTGCCCCTCCCACCTCAAACGAGTAGTACAGCTCAGAAGGCGACCCGCTAGCAGCATAAGGCATGATCCACCGCTTCTTATACGCCAGGAACGCGCCGCTGTTTAGCAAAGCGGATCGCTTAAGAAACGCGGGCCATTTGAAGCTCTTGGGCCGGATCGCGCTAAGTGCCTCGGCTTCGTGGTTTCCCGGCACGACCATCCAGGGGTGAGTGCTGGCGTCTCGCTCAATCAGGTTCTGCCACCTGTCCCACACGGATTGGATGCCGTTGGCATAGGAGAGATCCCCAGGGACGAGGGTGAGGGAGTGAGGCTGCTGGGAGAGACGGGTGATGGTTGTGCGTGCTGCTTTAGAAAGACCAATGTCACCTGGAAGGAGAGAAAACAACGCAAGGGAGAGGAATGGGAAGGTGTATTTGAGTATACACCTCGACTCAAAATTTTGAGTCGACTCAAAATATACTGAAAGACCAATGTCACCTGGAAGGAGAGAAAACAACGCAAGGGAGGAATGTGAAGGGGGGGGATGTTGGGCTAACGCTGAAGCCACCACCCATCAACAACAACAGCAATGCTGACTTCAACAGCCCTTATCCTCCTACCATCCTAACCGCACTGCACCTGGGGTCCTGACTCCTGAGGTGGGGGGCATCACAACCCACCCAACCCCACCCCCTCCTACCCGCTCGCACCCCCTCCCACCCGCTCGCACCCCCTCCCACCCGCTCCCACCCCCTCCCACCCGCTCGCACCCCCTCCCTCCCATTCGCACCCCCTCTCACCCATTCGCACCCCCTCCCACCCGCTCGCACCAACTGCCACACCAGCTCTCACCAGCAACAGCGATGCTGACGTCAGCAGCAGCATCGGTGGGCGGCGTGACAAAGGATCGTTCCTGCCCCTCCCCTGCGATGCGGTAGTAGTAGGTGGTTTGGGGCTGCAGGTTTGACAGCACTGCACTGTGCAACTGGTCCGACCTGCACAGGTGGTGAATTGGTGGGTGGAGAGCGAAAGAAAGGGGGTACAAATGAGCGTTCTGGCCCCTCCCCTGCGATGCGGTAGTAGTAGGTGGTCTGGGGTTGCAGGCCCGAGAGCACTGCACTGTGCAACTGGTCCGACCTGCACAGGTGTTGGGATGAAGAGAGGGGAAGATGAGGGTGGAATGTGAGGGGAGAGAAGTACAAAGGACCGTTCTGGCCCCTCCCCTGCGATGCAGTAGTAGTAGGTGGCCTGGGGTTGGAGTAAGGTGTATGATAGAAGCAAGCAATGAAAAAGAAAGCGAATTATATTTCCTTCAGTGTACTCACGAATAGGTCAGGAAGGTGTAGCTGGAAGACTTCCCCTTCGCCTTGCTGGTGTATTGCCCAGAAGTTACCCCGAATTCCACCAATGACGGCGTACCACGGCGAGATGTAGACCACATGACTCTGATGCTGTTGGGACCGGCGAGAGCTATGTGCACCTGGGGAATGGGCGAGAAATGCGAAAGGAAAGGGCAGAAACGAAGATGTGCTGTGGTAAGGGATTGACCACATGACTCTGATGCTGTCGCGAGAAGCTGTTTGGCTGTTTTGAAATGCGCTGAGCACAAATGCACACGTGGAGCCATGCAACACACAGAGGGTACCGGGAGAAACATTTAGTCTCGGGACTGCGAGCTTTTGAGGCACGTCAAAAGTCGTCTTCTGCGGCGCGTCAAAAGTCGCACACGCAGAGCCATGCAACACACAGAGGGTACCGGGAGAAACCATTTAGTCTCAGGACTGCGAGCTCACTCACCCATCCGTCACCCACCTGTTTTGCCTTCTTCGACCACTCCCCCCCCCCCACCAGCGGAACACTGATCGCCTACCTCCTCCCCATCCACTCAGAAACACTGTCCGCCCCTGAGGATACCGGGCAGAATCATCAAGACTCAGCACTGTGAGCTCACTCACCCGTCCGTCTGTCACCCACCTGTTTTGCCTTCTTCGACCCAGCCCACCAGCGGAACAGCGATCGCCTCTCCCCGATCCGCGCAGAATCATCCTCGGTCTCAGAACCTGAAGCACGCATACGATTGACGCCTGCGTCTTTTCCGCCTACTACGTTGGGATCGGACAGGGAAATATTGTGTGCTTGGCCGCCGGCGGCAGATGCAAGCGAGTTTTGAGGCGCCTCAAAATTGTATTTTCCGCCTACTACTACGTTGGGATCCGACAAGGAGACATTGTGTGTTTGGCTGGCGGTGGCAGATGCAAGCGAGCTTAGGAGATTTGTACAGAGGGAGAGTGCAACGAGGAGGAGAAGCTGGGTGAACAGAGCCGAGGGCGAGGTTCGGCCCGAGCCTCGTCCGAAGGCTCGGCATCTCGTTCCGCGAGCATGGTACTTGGGGTGTTGCGCTGATGAGTGGCTAACAGGTGGTGTGACTGTACAGAGGCCGCCAAGCATCACGCGAAGCACTGAATCTGGACGCATTGTGAGAAAGTCACGCGGTTCTACGGGTCTAGCAACAAGCAAGAAACGGAAGAAACTAGATGCAGCAGGGTCTGCAGCTGACGCTAGTGTAGCGCAACTATTAGTTGAAAGGATTTAGTGGAGCGCTTTAAACGAATATTTCGAAAAGCCGTGGAACCAGTGATACCGGAGACGGCCGCCTTATATTCTCAACGTTCGTCTGGTGCCTTTTTCAAGCGAAGGGAAAAGCGTGGAGCAGTTTTGGGGGTATGGACGTCGGAATCTGAGAAAAAACTCAGCTGCAGCCGACCGGAATGCAGACTAAGCGTGGCCTTGGTCCTCGTTCTATAAATCATACTGTTTAGAAGAATCAGATAGTTTTTTTGCGCGTCGCACTTGGAGTTCCATGCTCACGGCCCTCGGAATATCAAATCGACGAGGATACGAAAGCAACGCGCGGCTCCAGAAAGGGCTTTTGTGTGGGGTATAGCCTAGGGACTAACGGGACAGGCGAGTATCGCTCAGCGAGTCTAGAGCGCAGGTGGGTCCGTTGCTTCTGCAGCTTATCGCGGGGCCAGAAACTCCTGTAGTCCGGGGCTCTGCGCCTGGTAGCCACAGTGCTGCGCACTTCTGTTGCCCGTGTGTCTGCAGCTTTAGCCGTCGCCTCCCATCTCCTCGCCCTCACAGTTTCTCCTCCTCCTCACTTGCCCTCTGTGATAGCCTCTAGCTTTGCTTATCATTGTGAACTATTGCTCTGCTTGCTTATTGTGCTGATTATACCCCTCTTTGGCTATGGGGGTGTGTCAGAATGTGATATTTGTCTAGCCTGCAGTGGGGTACTCTATAGCGAGTACAGCCCAAATTAGGGTTTGCTATATGTACTCAACTGCCTGCTAGTGCAACCAGGGCTAATTTTTGGTTTTGGCCAACCCTTGCGATCAGTGTTGCACATGATAAAATACTGATTATCAGAGTTATCCCTTCGTGAAAACCCTGATCTGTCAGGGTTTTTGCAGATCTTGAATATTCTACCCTGGTTCATCAGTGTAGCAATTTTTCAAGGCCTTTTGAAGTTGTTATTAACACAGCATAGAATAACAATCTCGAACATTGGCGTTGCTTCGAAATTTTCAGTTATGACAGTTGGCAAAGGGGATTCCCATGTTACGGGGAAGTGGGGTTAGGGGAAGGTTGGGGGGGGGGGGGGGGGGGGTTGGCTGGAACTCTCTTCAGGGTAAAACTCGATAAGAGGATCGGCAACCCTAAGGCGACTGTGTTCCTTAATCGTAATCAGGGTAAATGAAGGTCCCAAAAAAATTACCCTTCCGCATCAGTGTTACGGTACTACCGTCATACCCCGGATATACCCCCATGGGGGGCACTAATAAAACAGGTTTTTTTAGGGGGGTGGGCTTATAATCGAGTAAATTTATAAGCGCCGGCGTTTATAAAATGACATATATATATTTTATAGTTTTTAACACTTAACTGTAGATCTCGTGCTTGCTTTTTCAATCGAGTCGAAGTTACATGGGGTCGTCTGTGAAATTCTCGCGCGCGCTGGGAGATACACTCAATCTGACTCACATTCAGGTCCTGACAGCTCCTGCTGACTGGATCCGCATCCAGTGCAGGGTCCGAATGTGAAGGGAAGCGAATCTGCAACACATCCCCCTGCTAAAGTCAAAATCGTTACAGTGTTTTGAACACATTTCAAAATTTAAAGTTTACGTGCGCTTATAATAAAACAAGTTTTTTCAGGGGGTGCGCTTATAATCGAGCACCGGATATACGCGCCACACACCAATTAAAAGCGCCAGGCGCTTATCCGCGGGTGGCGCTTATATCCGGGGTATGACGGTACCAATAATCACCATGTTCATCAGGGCATCAGGGTGATTTACACTGATAAAATAGACCCTGAGTGCAACCCTCTTTTGCCTGTTTTCTCTTGCCTAGCTACCTAAACCAATTTGCCTCTCAATGCCCAAGTCCCCACTTGCCTTTCCCCACTCCGCCCTGCGCAACTCCACCATTGCCAATCACCATATCATACCCCTTGCCAGTTCCGGAATCCCATTCCTCCTGCTGCCCCTCCTAACCGTGGTCTTTGTCTCTTGTTATCCTCCCCCATCGCAGCCAAAGCCCCATGCAATTCAGTACCTCTTGTCTTGTCGTCAACCCATCCCAGCCCAAGCCTCCCCTCCCCTCCATACCTCTTTTATTGTCTTACCATCCCGGCCCAAGCCCTTCCTGCCATTCCTCTAGTGTTTTGTCATTTCTGCACATGATGGTTGAATGAATACCAGTATTAAGGTAAACAAAGCACCATGCCAGTCCACAGCTTATTCACGGTACAATCATATCCGTTGTTGAGTTCCCTAAACGTGTCAGCGCTGCGGCGGTATTTCTTGGCAATCAGCAAGCCGCATGTATCGCCGTGTTTCACAGTGTACGTTCGCCTGGTTGAGCATGTTACGCCAGAGTAGGGTGGAGCGTCGGAAGCAGCCACACAAATCTGTGAATCATGAAGAGAGGGAACAGAGCGGAAGAGGAAAACGTTTCGAGGCGCCTCAAAAGTCGTTTCCCACTGTACGCTCTCTTGGTTGTGCACGATATGCCAGAGTACGGTAGAGAGTCAGTAGCAGCCAGACAAATCTGTGAATCACCAAGAGTGGAAACGGAATGTAAGGGATAAAAAAAAACGTCTGGATTGGTAATTGGGTTTCAAGAACTACTGAGTAAGGCGTCACAATAGAAACCCCCAACCCGTTGTAACGAGACGACTTTTGAGTCGACCTATTGGGTAAAGAGTCACATGAGGAACCCCCAACCTGTACATTCAGGCCTTCCTCCCCACTCACCCTAGTCAATCATATTGCTCTACATCGGATTGTAAGGCAGCAGGTGTCCCCCCCCAACCTTCTCACCCTCCAGCTCCCCATTATCTTGGAGGCCGTCCAACCTTTTTTATTTTGATACTTCACAACATCAACCTTCTTTGATTTTGAAAATTCACATCATCAACCTCCACACAGGCCATCCCACTCACCCGACTAATCATGTTGCCCTGCAGGGGGCTGTAAGGCAGCAGCGAGTCGCACGAGAGCCCGGGATTCATCTGGAAGAATCGCGTGGGAGATGCAACGCCAAACTTCCGCCACAGCTGCTGGCAGGTTAGCGGGCCCTGCAGGACTGTAAACAACGACCCTTGACTTGAGTAGTTGGCTAGAGGAGGGGGTGGTTGAGGGCTTGGTGTGGTTGCGGTTGGGGTGATTTGCGCGTAAAGGTCGCACGCTATGAGGGTTTTTCCCAACTCTACCCACGTTTGGTTGAAGCCTACACAGAGGAGCTGTGAAGGGGAGTGGGAGGGTAGGGGGAGGGGGAGCGGGAGGGTAGGGGGAGGGGGAGCGGGAGGGTAGGGGGAGGGGGAGCGGGAGGGTAAAGGGAGGGGAGGGGGAGGGGGAGGGGGAGGGGGAGGGGGGAGAGACGGGCATAGAAGGGGGAGGGGGAGAGGATGCGTGAATGTGCAGCCATTTGGGTGGACACTGAGTTTTACAGGATTCACGAATCAATTTCTCAAAGAGATGTGATGCGATGTGATTCAATGCAATGTGATGTGATGTGATGTGATGTGATGTGATGTGATGTGATGTGATGTGATGTGATGTGATGTGATGTGATGTGATGTGATGTGATGTGATGTGATGTGATGTGATGTGATGTGATGTGATGTGATGTGTTGTGAGGTGATGTGACGTGATGTGATGGGATGTGTTGCGCTATGTTGGAAAATACGCTCGGGCTTTTACGCGTATCACGTTTATACGAGAACGTATATACGGAAAAACGTGATACGTTCCGTAATCCGCGATACGTTTCGTCGGGCAGCCCGGAAATAAAAAATGAAAAAACCTGTTGCCGCTGATTCCGCGATCTGCAATTCTGTGAAACCTAATTTTGAGATTCGAAACTCGAATGCCCCCCTCCCCTCCCCTCCACCGCACATCACCTCACACCACCTCCCACACCCAACCTTCCCTTACAAGCTGCTCGCACGTCGGCGTGAGTACAACAGCGAATCTCATTTGTCTCACGCCAAGTTTACTGCTATTGCTAGCAGCGGCGTCGCGTCACTTGCAGATCTTAGCAACCGCAATATTAGGACGATTCTAGCCAACAATTTCGTACTGGCGTAAACCCCACGGGAGTTATCCGCATCAAGTATTGCTGAAGTTCTTTCCCTACAAGTATTCTACCTCAACTTAAATGTTTTTCCCCTGCCCTAGAATTTTTTTGACCTGCCCGACGCACCGTATTTCGAGGTTTTTTGTACGCTGGAAATTTGCGTATCACGTAAGTACGGTACCGTATAGTTCGTACGTGTTCCGTACGCCATACGCGTATTTTGCAACATAGGTGTTGTTGCGATGCGATGCGATGCAATGCGATGCGACGCGATGCGATGCGATGCGATGTGATGTGATGTGATGCGAAACCATTTACGAGCACTAGAGCTTTTCTTAGGTACTAACGCGGTTAATCAAACATAGCAGGAGAAACCAAACTAGCAGAGATGAATCGTAAGCGCAGGTATTCTCACCCACGGCCTAGCAAGC